CGAAGAAGCGCAGAAGACGGTAAAGCAAGACAAGACGCAGAATTTGAACTTGCTAAAGGATTCCCTGTCCAAGTTCAGGATAGCTTACAAACCATCATGGTTCGAAGAAGCGTAGAAGACGGTAAGGCAATACAAGACGAAGGATTTGAACTTGCTGAAGATATCTTGGACGAAGTTCAGGACAGCTTACAAATCATCATAGTTCGAGGAAGCGTAGAAGACGGTCAATCCATACAAGACGAAAATTTCGAACAAAAAGAAGATTATCAAGTTAAAGGAATGCCATTCAACGATCGTGAGATCTCTCATAGTATGACAATAGGACGAGGCGTAAAAGAGAGCTGCTCTTGCGTCGAAACTCAAGGAAGCGTACAAGGCGCCCAAACAGTACAAAACGATGTTCCTGACGCAAACAAAACACCTCTGGGAATCGTAGAAGTAGGCAAGTTGGATGTGTCACGGGCTGAGAGAAAGACACCTATAGGACTGGACAAGGATTTGAACCAAGTGCTAAAAGCATGTGATTCTACATATCTGAGGACTAACATCACTACATTGATTAACCTTGTCAATAAGATGCCTTATAACAATGATACTGAAATGTTCCTAACTCATAGTGATTGGAGAGGTCAATCAGAGATGAAATTCGTCTGTATTGTCATACGTAAGTATATGATAGGCAGCTTAGAAGCAAGTGATTATATAATTTTTACTCACCTCTATAAACGAATAGTTCCTGCTGTCCCTGATTGTCTTGTTCTCTTGTCCGGTTTGCTCCCTCACTCAGAAGAATTCACTGATACTACAATTTCATATGAACTGAAAGAGTTGGTAGAAACAGCTTTCGTATGGAAGATCTTGAAAAGTGGCTATCTGAAAATTGAAAACAAACGCTTATATATAAAGTAAATTGATAACACTATATAGATTAATAAAACCAAAATGAGAACCAGTATTACTGTTTGAATCCGAATCCACGTCCTCCCATTCCCATCAACCTTACTTCNTTTAATATGAAATGTAAAATGTAAGATAGACAGTGTCATGAGAAGACCTTACCAATCAATATAAAAATAGAAAATTTATATATTTTCTAACATCTTCCCCCGGTGTTCAATTGTAGTTTGTTTTGATATCATGTAAACCGTAGTCTAGGGCTATAATTGTTTTCTTTCCGATCATTTCTCAAGGAATGTTTATGATCACCAAATAATTTTGTTATGGTCAATTCTCCCGTTACTCATGTCTTTCCGGATGCTCGTGTACGATATTCGGATATCAATGCTGTTGACCGCTCAATCGAAACTTGAAAAGTTTCACTTGAGTTTCTATATCAGAAACAAACATTTTTTGCAAAATTATAGTTTTTCTGAAATTGTTTCGTCCGACACCGCTCACTCAAGAAAACAAATGTAAATGAAATCAATGCTTTCACCGCCTGTGAACGTGTTTCATTTTCACTTTAATTGAATAGCCGAGCGGTCATGACTTCTTTGCGTGGGAATGATAGGACAAAGATGGTGTCTTGAAGAATTCAAATCTCTCGTAACTGTTCTTAGAAGATTGAGAATACACTTCGCTTTGGGATTGCTCAGTGATTACATCATCACATATTGCCTTCATCGAAGACCGCTTGGTCGTATTGAGGATTGATCGTCATGTCCTTGGTATCATCATAGTGGTTATGAACTTA